AAAAAAAAAATCATTAAATGATAGTTCCATATCTGGGAACCAATCTATTATCCAGGAGAAAGGACAGAGGGAGAGGTTTTGTTTTTTTTGCCTCCTGACTTAAGTGTTCCCATATGCTCTGCAGACATGGTGGCGGAAGAGAAAATACCTATGCTGATACTTGGCTTGCTCTTACCATTTGTCTGACTTTCAACCCAGGAATTGATGAGCTCTCTGGCTTGTTCTGCAGCTGTTTGAAAGCTGATAGTTTCCAAGCCTCCTTTATACAGTTCCTTCACACATTGTAAGTATTCCTGCAAAGGAAGAGCATGCAGTTTTCAGATCAGAATGCCAAAGCATTTTGCAAATGTGAAATGCAAGTCTGAAATTAACAGATATGAATAATCTGCTTATTAAGGCTAATCAGTAAGCCATGTTTCTAGTTCATAAGCATCTTAAGATTTGACATTCATTGCTTCAAGCAAGAGTATATGCTCACTTTTAAAAAAAATATTTTCCAGAACTGAGTTTGATCCAAAAATAGTATTCATTTCAGTTGAAATATGGGGTTTTTTTCATTTTGACCACTTTTTAACTTTTTATATTGCAATGGTATTTTCCTTCAATTTCAAATTAAATGTTCCTTTCAATGGGAAAACCTGGAATATTTTTGAGAACCTGAAGTTATTTTTCAGGCTTGTTTTACAAGTTGAGAAAACAGTTGGGAGTTAATTATTTCCAACAAAAGTTACCTTTATTAATTATACCTTGACATTATTGGATCATGACTGTGCTTTGTACAAACATTTTTTTGGCTAGGCATATTTTTTCTCAAGACTGTAGAGGGCTAGGCCTGTGATAGAAGTTGTGAATCCTGTCTTCTATGTGGAAGAAAATTTCTTTAGCAGAATCTAGACTTCTGACAGTGCTTTTGTATTACAGAATGGTACAGCTTTGACATAGAAATACACTCAGATCAGATCTTAGAGCAACTTACCGGTAGGATTGGGTACATCTCATCAGCATAAAGTCTACTGGCAAAGCCGAGTGAATAATTGTCACTTGGTTTGGTGATTTGGGTGAACATGTCTTTAAGTGAAGCGTGGACAGTTACAGATGTGCTGCACTGAATCGTTGGCATGAATACAAATAAAAACATAGATGATGTTATTCTAGTTTTAGTACTTAGTAGGTTTTTCATACTATATGAGAAGAGTAGAATAGGTCAGAAACTTCTGCTTACAAAACTGTTGTTTATCCTGTATGTCTTGTTGCTATAACTACATCAATGTAGTAATTTTCTACTAAAAAATAGTAGAAATTTTCTACTAAAAAGTTTTCTACTAAAAAATATACAATTCTGTGCTATTTTTCTACTGTAATTTCCTCTTGCCTTTCTTAGGGGGACTCTTAATTACCCGCTATAGTAATGTAGCTCCAGCAGATCAGGTGGGCATTCCTCCATTCCCAACCAGTCCCATTTAACTAGTAACATTCAAATACCTTGCCTAAGCATACAGATATTCCTAATTTTCCCTATTTGCCTTATATTATGGTGCTGGGTTTCATCTTATGCTTGTTCTGAATCCTCTGTTACCTCCCTTCTCTCTCTATTCTTATGAACCAAGTGTTCTCCCAACTGCTGGATGCAGAGCCCTAGCCACTCATCGGAGAGGGGTTGGAACTGCTGAGAGACTGCTTTATCTACTACATTTTTCTCCCAGGAGAAAGGGACATAGAGAAGGAGGTGAAGTTAGTTCGGTACCTGAGATTCAATACTCTCTCCAAATCCTGTGATTTTATCAAAGCGAACAACCTGTAATTGAAAATAACAGTAGTTGAAGTAGCAGGTGTGACAAAAAAAAATTATGCAACTGAGATTAACACATGACGTTTGAAGTAAACCTGTTGGCTAACTGAGAAGCTGGATGACTCAAAAGGTGCAATCCACCTGTACCATCTGTGAATAGCTGTGCCTACTGTTGCCTACTTAGATGATCTCTCTTTCTATTGAACATCTTGAAATCAGCTCCAGTGTGTGCTATTAATAATACTAACTTTCTTCCATGTGACAAGCCAGCCACTCTCTATGAAAAAAGTGAGAGCTATAGGAAACTCATGTAAAACATTTTGCAGTCTGGAGGCATGTTTTGGCTCTTTTCCTGGAGATTTTATCTACTTTCCTTACTCTAAACAAAGAACCGCTGGAATGTGTCATTCTCTTTGGGAATCCTACTGCTAACAATGATAAAATTAACATTTAAATGCAGTTTGAAGGTTTCTTGCATTTCTTTAATACTATGAGCGTTTGAGATGGCCACAGCCTTTAATAACTCTGAATGCAGATTTTTTAGCCTCTGAGCTATGCAAGGGACATTATCATATAATTAAGTGTTGTGGCTCTGTTGAGCAGTAGGAAGGTTTAAATCCTTAACTGTAGCCTTACCTTATCTATCTGGGCTCTGGTGTTTTCTCTTGCACCTAGGTAGACCATGGACAGAGCTGAAATGATGCTCAGGGGGGAGAAGAATATGTTTTCGTTGACATGCTGGACTTTCAGCTCCTTGAATACATCAAAAGAAAATTCCGTGCTTGCTGCACCAATGGAGCCCATTGTGAAACCAGTATTGTCTAGAGCAAACAGCAGAAGTACAATGACAATGTAATGATGGAATACTGTACAAACACAGCACAATGCGCTTTAATAGTAGTTTTTAGGCAATGAAATATAAACAATTAGTTTTGAAGTCATTCTGTGGTAACGTGCTTATTGCTATGCTCATCTCATGTATGTTAGAAACTCTGTATTCATAAATCTATTTCTTTCTGCATTTGTATTCAGTTGCCTTTTTTGGCAGTAAATTTCCTCAGAGGTCTTAAATCTGTATGTGATTTCTGTTTACCCTTTCAAAGCAGTCAAACAACAATTGCCTGTACTTATTTTCATTCAGTGAAGGCTGAAATTCCTTGGTACTTTGTAGTACCTTTAATGAAAACAAGAAAATATGATCTATCTTTGAAATACTTGCAAAGCTGTAAATTTGAAGTGCAAATTTTAGTAGACTTGCTCTAAGTTTGGACAGATATAAGTAAAAGCAGAGGCTGGCTGACTATTTTCTAAAAATAAGTGCAGTAAAATACCTATTTGCTGTACAGCAGTTACTGTCAGTAGATCTTCAAAGGCTTGTATCTTTACCCTTGCTTTGGTAATGGAAGCATGGATAGGCAATATAATTTGTCTTAAGGTCACCTAGTCTAGGAGAGAGACTGATGCACAAAATTCATATTCTACCCTCTTGTGCTTTCAGATACAGTTTGCTTTGCTTAAATATACTTTTATATACTACGCTAAAACCTTTCTGAGAAATTAAATTTTGTTAGTGACATTCAGATAGAATAGAAATGCAGACATGATAAAACAGCAATGTCTATCACAATACAGCACTGTTAAATGGGTATTTTTTTGTGGCATAGACCAGTAAAAGCTTTATATTTGTTTCTGTCTGAGGCTGCTATAAAGTGCTGGACAGTGTGAGTGCTGTGTAACCACTATGCTTATATAAAGCACAACTTTTGAGGTCAGCATGAATCTAGTTTCCTTTCTGTGATCTAGAGAAATTGTGGAACTTTGTTGTCTTTCAAAATGCAGCCCCTTATGTAGGTGCTTAATGCTGGGATCTCAAGTTTGTCTTTGAAGTATTAAACCCCACCAAGGTTTTTAGTCATCACGCTTGTGAATATATACATACGCTCGCACACATTTCTCTCACATTCCTTTCTGTATACAAGTTCATATTTATAAATTATTGTAAAAATATGTCTGTACACCCACACACAGTTTTTATCTTGTGTAGTGTTCAAAGCTGTATTTTCCAGGGATGCAACTGTTAGAGAAATTTCACACTAAAATAAACCTAGCAAATTCAGTGAATGCTACAGTTTTGCTCTCAGTGTACTCTGTTGAACCAGAGGTTCAATCAGCAAACTTACTCCTTGGCTGCCAAAAGCAAGCTTAAGAGGTACTGAATGAGAGGATAAGTTGCTCAGAAATGAAATCATATTTTAAGCACAAAGTAATATTTTAAGCACAAAGAATAAACTTTTTAAAAGTCTCCTGAAAACAAATACTTAGGTTTTACACATAACAGAACAGTGTAGAACACATACACACAGGTGAGAAGATTTGTAGAGAACGTCATGTAAATATTCTCTCCTTAAAGATACCAAACACAACACAATAATTGCTCTCTTTTTAAGTTTAGGCAACAGCAAGAAATAATATAGTGAGAAGGTAAATTTTCCTAGAGAAATGCTTACCTTTCGAGCTTCAGCACCAAAGGCAATACAGCTTTCCAGCTGTATGTAGACAGACTGGCTGAGCCCTTGGGAATTTATACAGTCTGAATTGTGACCCACCCATTGCTGCCCTTCAGAAGTTTGACCTTTGACACCATAAAAATAATGTATTTGGATTAGGTCAGATTTTAGTTTCAATGGGTCCGGTTTTGATTGAAGGGGAGCAAATATTAGGTTTTTTATTCTGTATAGCAAAGTGTTTTCCACCAGTACATCAGGACTGTTGGCTTAGAAGAAAAGACTTTGAAATAATGCTCCTGTTCCTTTAAGCCTCATTTGCAACTAGATACTGGGATGTTAATAAAAACAAAAAATGTGAAAACCTTAGTGATGGAAAACATAATTAGCTGTTATTACTCAATCTGTCAATGATTAGTCAATTTTTTATTATGGCTGTAGTAAAAGGCCAGAACTCTCTTTCAATTGATATGTTTCAAAAGTACAAAATGCAGCTGAGCCATGCTAGATGGAAGATGTGAGAACAGGACTTGGCCTATTATTCTACCAACAAAACTGGGGAAATAAAGAAAGGCGCATGTGAGAAAACGAATTGAGATGAAAGTCAAAAGTAGGCACATTTTCTTTGAAAAGTTGGGATATTTAAAAAAGATCTTTTGATGGGTGTGAAGGTTTTATAGCAAACTATTTTATTCTCAGGGAGTAATAGAAAAACATAGCCCCAGACAAAGTAAAAAGTAGTCAGTTCCAAATGTGTTTGTGGTATGCACTTGCAGTGTATCTCTCAGATCTTCCATGGGTAACTTAATGGCCTGGCAGATGGCAGAGGAACTGTGAAATCCAGCTAAAGGGGTGTTCATGGTCTGTGGGACAATCATAATATACAATAGAAAATATATTTCAGTTATAAAAGCTATTGTTCTGTAATGAAATAATAGAATGGACAAACAGTAAAGAAACCATTCTGACCTCTGTAAAGCACTATGTGATTTTAGGGGGGGAGGGGGCAGGGGGGGCAGAAATCCCAAAGTCAGTATGACATAATTCTTTCGAACATACATGGAGATGACGGTGATCTCTGTTAAGGAGAAGAGGTAGGCTCCTGTACTGCTGTCAAAAGTTTAGACAGTACGGTTTTCTTTGCCTCAGTCTGCTTCCTTTTGTGAAAATAAACATGCCATAGAAATGTACATTCTCCTTGCTGAGTTGTTGTCACCAAGGCAATCTGAGGACTTAAGCAAGACAATATTGTAGTGGAAGTGTTCTTTTTTGTTAGATCTCTACTCCACAAGTATCAGCCAAGTGTTTTGGTTTGGTTTTTTTTGTTTTCCCACAGACAGTCTGACAGATACATATGTAGACTTAGGCACAGAATAATTCTTCCCACTTTTTTCTAAGTCAGGTCTACTGCTTCTGCTTCAGCCTTTAAGAAAGCCTGAAAAGCTTGTCTGCTTTTTCTGATGATAGAAGTACTTCTTGGAGAACATTATCCCTACCTATAAAATACGTATTAGTATGTTGATGGAGAAGAGGAATGGGGAATGAGTCTCCCAGGTGCATTGTTAATCAAAAATCTCCACCATCTCGTCAATCAAATACCAGTAACAAGTTGTGTACATGTATTCAACTTAGATCTTTGTATCTGTTAATGTATAGATCAATGTAGACCAGGTGATCCTGCCACACTGAAACATCCTGGTGAAATAACAAGGAAAAGGAGGACAGTTTTGCCTCTCACTGAGGCAAGGAACTCTTTAGCAGCCAGCCAGGTGCTGGAGAAAAAATCCAGCCACAAAGCAATGCTTCCAGATACTTTAAAACATTAAGACAGTGCTACCATAGCTGAGAAGCATGGTCGAAGACCTCCTTGAGAGGGAGGCACTAAGGAGGCAGTTTTAGTAGAAAACTTTCAATCTTTCTAGAGGCCCAGTCTGAGAAGATGTCACATGGATACAGCCAGGGGATGGAGCAGCTCAGCTAGTACAATTCCTAGCTCACCCTCCCCTGCATTCAAAGGGAGAGCAGCTGTAAGGGTGAGCAAGCCTTGTGAGACTAGGAGAATAGGGTGCTTTTTAAATGGAAACTCTCTGGGAGAAGCTCTGTCCTTGGCTGTATTGTCAGATGGAGGATCCTGAACAATTTCTGGCTTATGAGAGTCTCCACTACAGAAAAGGGGCGAGGTATCCCCTTGTGGACAAAACTGTCAGCCACTTTGAGCAGACATCAGGTCAGGTCGGTAAGGGCAAGGTGTTTCCAAAGTAACCCTGGCATATATAATTAAGCTTTTTTTTTTTTTTCTTTTTTTGATTTCTTACATTTTTATGAATATTGTTCAGTGTGTTGCCTCATTTATTCATATGTTATGAATAAATGCTTTTATAGACACTTCACCATAACCTGTCTTAAGAGTGGTGAATAACAACAGGGTGTTTGTCACCCAACAGTTTGGCCAGTGAGCCAAGGCACTGAACACTTAAACAAGTAATTTTTTTGTTTGTTTAATGAAAAACATTCCCTTTTTTGTTTCCACTGGCAGAGTGGGTCCCCTCTTCATTTGTGTAGCTCAGGAAGTGAGGTGGTACCACATGTATCAGCAGAGGCAGAAGTGCTTTCTAGTGCTAGGTGGCCAGAAGAATATCTGGCATATAATAAAATACTGGCAGGTGTGCCTGGATCCTGAGAGTCACAGGGAGTGTATCACACCTTGCTTTTCCTTGATGTCCACAAAATAATGGTTATCAGGAGTCCTTCAAAGCTGAAGATGAAAAGGCTGAAGAGAACATGCCGAAGTGAGCATATCCCAGCAGTACGAAACTGGGAGGAACTGTGGAGTCCCTCGAGGGTAAAGAGGCCTTACAGAGAG